AAATTTGCTCTCAATTCTGTGATTTTCTGGGCAAAGCTGCTGTCAACAAGCTGACTTGCCACTCGCGTGCATGGGGCTTGGCCTTGGTGCCTCCTCGGCTGCGACGATGTCCATTTTGTTTTCGACCGTTCTCCTCCATTCGGGCTCCAAATCAAGTGATTCTTGAGTCTATCTTCGTTATTTTTTCGTTGTCTATCCAATGGTGTGCTCAGTAGTACCCATAACTTTATAGAAATTATCATTTTGCCCTTAGGGCTAAACTTGTCCCATTTTAAAATGTCGCTTCCGCATTTTATTTTCTTTTAAGTTTCGTGGCTTCATGGGAAGTTATGTTTGTGTCTATGGGATGATGTACATCTCTTGAGGCTTTGTTTTCATGTAAAATTATCATTTTGCCCTTAGGGGCATACTTGGTCTATTTTCACCTTTTTGCTTCCGCATTTGTTTTCTTTTGGTTCCGTGACTTCATGGAAAGTCACCATGGCGTCTTAGGGATATCGAACATCCCCACAGACCTTGTTTTTGTTTCCACTTTCGCATTCTGGATCCGTTATCGGGTCAACTTTTTGGTCACATTGACATATCCGGGTTTGTGAAAATTCAAAACGTCACATTCAAAGTTTGTTGGGCCAAAGCTACAACCATTATCCAGTTATCTCTTATTTCTCTAATCTCATTTCCAAGTCTGTTCAATCCCATCTCTTAGCACACAGCTCACTACCATCCCCACAGACTTTGAAATCCAGACATGCATTCTCTCTTTCCGTCCTTACAAAAGCCCTGGATCTGATGGCTTTAATTCATGCTTCTTCAAACATACTTGGCCTATTATTGGTCAGGACATCACTGTTGCTATTAAAGATTTATTTACCTCTGGGAGAATGCTATCTAATATAATCTGCTCTTATATTAATTGCCCTTGTACCCAAAGTACCTAATCATTCCACAGTTAATGACTTTAGACTTATTTCATGCTGTAATTTGCTGTACAAATGCATTTCTAAACTAATTACAACCAAGCTAGGCAATGTGCTTCCATATCTTATTAACCTATCACATAATGCCTTTATTAAGAATAGGCAGATCACAGATAACATTTTGATTGCACATGAACTCTTAAATGGAAACCACAAAGCCTCCCATCCACCATGTTGTACACCTAAATTTGATTTGAAAAAAGCTTTTGATTCACTGCATTAACAGTTTATTTTGGACACTTTTCACTTGTTTGGTTTCCCCAACTAATTTGTGCATTGGATTGAGCAATGTATCTTTACCCCTTCTTACTTCATATCACTTAATGGAGAACTATTTGGCTTCTTTAAGGGTAAGAGGTGTAGCAGACAAGGGGATTCAATTTCTTCATTGTTGTTTGTTCTGGTAATTAAAGTCCTTTCATTGGCCCTTAGCAAGAATATTTCTCTGAATCTAGGCTTCAAATATCATTGTAGATGTAGCAAACTAGACATTTCCCATCTAGCATTTGCAGATGATATTCTCTTATTCTCTTATGGCAACCTTGCATCTGTGGAAGTATTGTTTGCAGCTTTGAATAGTTTTCTGAGTTTTTCTAGACTCTCAATAAATTGCTCCAAGAGTCAAGTCTTTTTTACTGGGGTAGATACACACACTAGGGCAAGCAAAATTTCACTCCTACAGTTTGAAGCTGGAGTTTTTCCAATTACATACTTGGGCTTACCATTTTCCTCACCAGCCATCAATGCTAATGATTGCTAAACACTTGTGCACATATCGAATTACAAAAAGAATCAGTATGTGGACTTCAAGGTTCCTATCCTATGCAGGTAGAACAGTGTTGATTAGTCAATCCTATACTCTATTCAGGCTTATTGGACTCAAGCATTCATTCTGCCACTGAAAGTTATTGATCAAATAAACCAAGTTATCAAAAGCTTTTATTGGTCTTGTGTTGAGCTTAGGAAATGAGGGGCCAAGGTTACATGGACAACCATTTGTAGACCAAAAGCCAATGGTGGATTGGGTTTTCCTTACTTGGAGATGACTAATACAATTTCAAGCTTCAAACACATATGGAAGTTGTGTGCTATGAAGGATTATCTATTGGTTGTTTGGGTTCACAGGTACCTCATCAAAGCTAAGTGTGTATGGATTGTCAAAGCTTCATCTTTGAGCTTTGGATTTTGGAGATCGAAGACTTCTCAAAATGAGGGGAATGACAAGGGGTTTAATTAGGCACAGGGTTGGTTCAAGGGTTTGCACAAGCTTATGGTTGGATTATTGGCTCCTAAATTGTCCCATTTCTGCCTAGCTTGGCCTCACTGAAATGGAAATTATTTAACTGGACTATCAAGTCAAAGTTGATAACCTAATTTCCAATTCCCAATGGGCTATCTCATCATTCCTTCAACACATCCCATTCTTTTAATCCCAAGCTTTTTTTGTCACAGCTACATAGCATTGCAGATCCTACACCAGTGCCAGACTTAATTGATACAATGGTTGCCAAGTGCCCCAATGGAGTACTCACATTGGCTTACTATGGAATATTAATTACACCCTTCCATCACTGTTATTTACTTGGCATCAGCTCATTTGGTTTAAGCATCATATTCCAAAACATAGACATGTTGCTTGGTTGGCTCTCAGACACAGGCTCTATACATTGGATTCAAAACCTATGAGGCTCAAGCACAATACCAATGCCTGCTACCTTTGTCTTGCTGACTGGGAGTCTCTGGACCACTTTTTTTTTAAGCGCGGATATAGTTGTGTCCTTTGGGAGTTCATTTAGCATGCTGCAGGTTTCTACATTATGCCCAACAACTGGAGTGACATCATTGTTTGGTGTTCTAACTCTTGGACTTAAAGTAAATTCATCACACACACGCTACTCCTATCAACTGGAATTTACTTCATTTGGCAGGAAAGGAATGCAAGGGCATTTAGGAACAGGTCCTCTCCTCCACACCTCCTCATTAGATCAATCAAGAGTTGTGTTAGAGCAAGACTTGCTTCAATAAGGATAAGCAGAAGGGCAGACATAAGGAAGATTGGATCGTTGATGTACCTGCAAAGGCTCTTCGTACAGGGTTGTGATTTTGCTCATAGACAGTCCTGGTTCCTTCTTTGAGGTGTTATGTTGTGAGGTGTTATGTTTGCAAAGGCTCTTCTTGCAAGGCTGTGCTCCTGCTGATGGACAGATTGGTTCCTTTTTTGACATTTTAAGTACTTTAATTATTTCTGTTTACCAAGTTGGCTTGGTTTGTTGTGATGGTCTTCCAAACTGGCATTGTAGCATCTGGTTGTAGCCTTGGAATTTGTCCATTTTTCATGAACCTTGTACATATTTTTACATCTTTTATACAAGCTTACCCATTCAACTAAAAAAACCTTTCAATTGAATAAACATGGAAACACTTATTTTTTAACCACTATAAAAATACTATTAACACATTTCGGGTGTTGCAACCCTCGATAACTAGAATGTTACATAGGTTTTGTGAATTAGTGTAGACATTTGCAAATAACAGTGGCACGTGGATCTTCCTATCAATTTATTCTCTCTCTCTTTTTATCTATATAAAAACACATTCATATAGGAATTTGACAATTTTTTTTTTTTTTGAAGGATCATATACAATTTGACTTTATGATTACAATTTTAAAATTATAAGAATACTAAAATTTCATGCTCCACGACAATATACATATTTATACGTCTATAAATGTATATGTGCATGTCAATATATGATGAACGGATCGGACTGTACTCTTGAGCCTATATATATATATATATATATATATATATATTCAATTCAATTATATGTATACACACACACACTCGAAGAATATTTTCTAGCAAACTGATTTTTTTTTCGATACTATATATATCACCTACAACTCAAATAATATTATATACAATAAATCATAAGATTACCCACCTAATTAGCTAGAATACTAGGTAAGTCGAAAGATTTTTTATTATGTAATCACTAGCAGATCGAGACCTGATTAGGACCTTGTACGTCTTTATAATAAATTTAAAATAAAAAAAAACAAAAAAAAAACATAGAACCCAATTTGGCACTTCTTAGATTGGGGGGACAAACTCCTTAATTTCAAACCATCAAGATAGGAACAAAAATACTGAAAGAATCAAACAAATCTAGTGACAGGTTACAGCTGATGAAACCTATAGAATACAGAATAAACCATATCAAGCCAAAGCAGAAATTTTTCATGTCATAGTCAATGAAACTTTCAGATTTAAAGGCCCAAATTTAAGCTATATTTTTATATTACTAATTTATCTAAATTTCAGCTCTAAGATTGAACCATCTTCAATGTAACAATTCAATAGAGACTTCAACCATTGATCTTCTATTCTAAAAAATACATGATCTACTATGGGCTATAACTCTCAATGGTCCTTCTCCAATTGCTTGAATTAAATGGCCATGCTACAAGAAATTGTTTCTTTTTTTGGATTAGATAATTTACTCATACACATTTTGTTCACTCCGGGGGCTCGAACCCCTCCCCTCATCTTTAAGAATGAAAAGATTATACCATTGGGCCAAACCTTTTGCTCAGACTACAAGAAAATTGACGTTCTTGACTATGTTATTGGCTAAAAGTATTAGAACTTTTTTTCTTTGATTTCACTCGCATTTATTTTTAACACTTAGAAAAATAACTTTGGAACCTTAATTAAGCATATGCTCGGCCCAAGGTTAGCTAGCTAGCCTGTCCAACGCCCTTACTCTAGCACCTTCAAGCATAGATCATTGTATGTCCCATTAAGGCGCGCATATGCTTAATTTTTCTAAGCAAAATAAAGAATATACTGAGATATCCCTTCTCTACATTCCTTGTTGACACCCCCCAAAACATAGTTTTTGACGTCTGATAATTTATACTTACTCTCTAATTTTGCTTCCCGCCAAAACTCCGACTATTTAATGTGCCCTAGACCCCAAGAAATTTTCAGCAAACAATTAAGCCCATTGACAGCAAAAATGTCTTCAAATAATCTTGCAGTACTCAATGCTCTTGACTCTGCACGTACCCAATGGTACCATGTCACCGCCATCGTCATCGCCGGAATGGGCTTCTTCACAGATGCTTATGATCTTTTCTGTATCTCCACTGTCTCCAAGCTCTTGGGTCGACTTTATTACTATGACCCTGCAGTGACAAACAAGCCCGGGAAGCTCCCTCCGAATGTTAATAACTTTGTTGTTGGCGTTGCCCTAGTCGGAACTCTAACCGGGCAGCTGGTCTTTGGCTGGCTTGGGGACAAGCTAGGCCGGAAAAAAGTCTACGGTGTCACCCTCATTCTCATGGTCATCTGTGCCATTTGCTCCGGCCTATCTTTTGGCTCCTCGCCTCAATCTGTCATAACAACTCTATGTTTCTTCAGGTTTTGGCTAGGGTTTGGCATTGGAGGAGATTATCCCCTCTCCGCCACCATCATGTCTGAGTATGCTAACAAGAAGACTCGAGGGAAGTTCATCGCGGCGGTCTTTGCCATGCAAGGAGTGGGTATCATCTTCGCCGGACTCGTGTCCATGACTTTTTCTAGGATCTTCCTCGGTTTTTTTGAAGGTCCCAAGTTCAAGGATGATCATATTTTGTCAACGGAGCCGGAGGGGGACTATATGTGGCGGATTGTGTTGATGCTCGGAGCTCTTCCAGCAATTCTGACATACTACTGGAGGATGAAGATGCCGGAAACCGGCCGTTATACTGCTCTCATAGAAGGAAATGCTAAACAAGCAGCTATTGATATGGGTCGGGTTCTGAAAATTGATATCCAAGCAGATGGTGAGAAGTTGAGTCAGTTTAAGGCCTCTAATGACTACACACTACTCTCTAAGGAGTTCTTCCGTCGACATGGACTTCACTTAATAGGTATTGTGACTGTCACTTAGTTATTTAAGGTCTGCTTGATTTAATTTTCTAAAAACACTTCTCAAAAAAAAAAAAAAACGATTTTCAGTTGTACAAAACTGAACAAACAAACCATATTCTATAACTTTTTGTTTATATTTATGTGTGATTATAATTTATTTAAACATTTGTTTCAATTATAATTATTAGAGCAATAATTTGATTATTTATATTTTATAATAGGTACCATGAGCACATGGTTCTTGTTGGACATAGCCTTCTATAGCCAAAACCTAGCTCAGAAGGATATATTTCCGGCTATGGGTCTCACCAATAAAGATGTTGATGTGAGTGCTCTCAGAGAAGTGTTCGAAACTTCACGTGCCATGTTCGTGGTTGCCTTGCTCGGAACCTTCCCCGGCTACTGGTTCACCGTGGTTTTCATCGAAAGCATTGGCCGGTTCTACATTCAACTAATAGGGTTCTTCATGATGTCTGTCTTCATGCTTATTATGGGGATCCAATATGAATACCTTAAGAAAGAGGCGCATAAATGGGTTTTTGCAACTTTATATGGACTCACCTTCTTCTTTGCCAATTTCGGTCCGAACAGTACCACTTTCGTGCTTCCGGCGGAGCTGTTTCCGACGCGGCTGAGGTCAACATGTCACGCATTGAGCGCTGCCGCTGGGAAGGCCGGGGCGATGATTGGTGCGTTCGGGGTGCAGAGCTACACATTGAGTGGGAACCCTAAAAAAATTAAGCATGCCATGATGGTGCTGTCATTCACAAACATGCTAGGGTTTTGTTGCACATTCTTGGTGACCGAGACTAAAGGGCGATCGTTGGAGGAAATCTCAGGGGAGGATGGCAGCAAGAATGAAACTCAGATGACCAACAGACCATCCGGGACTAGCCGGTAAGCCTCATTGGATTTTTATTCGGCAAGTCTAGCACTTGAGCTGGCATATATATGGACGTTAATAAATGGCAAATGAATAATTGCATATTGGCAATGCTTAATTAAGGGTTGTACGTGTTATGTTACATGTAGTGTTTATGCATCTCCAACAAATAAGAACTTGTGAGATAGTGATGATGAAAATCAATGTGATAAAGGGAGAGTTTTTCCCTCTTTCTTTTGTTTTTATTTAATTTTAATTTTGTTTTTTTTCTTTTTAAGGAGTGGTAAAAGCGTATAATATATACCGATAGATGTTGCTGAAAACGTTACTTGCAGTGAAGTTTTTGCTATGCTTGTAAAATTTTCATGTTTTTTTACCCTTGCTATTTATGGTTCTCCACCATATATAATAGTGCACGCGGCACGATCGATGTGATGCACATGGTTAAAATTAAAATATATATATATATATATATATGTAAGAGGGATATACTGAACTCATATAATGCATACTTCTTTCTGGTTACAAATTTATTTTTCCTAATTAAACCCTATTATGATTTCATATAAAAGTTCTATTGGTCTCAGGAAGAGTGCATATATAGCACCATAGCCAGCTAACCCAGAAATTTAAAAATCAAGCATATATGCATGTATTAAGAAATTACTAATCCGTAAATACACATCTTTCCATGATGACTATTGTGGATATAAATTATGCCACATCATCAAAAATCAAATTAGAATGACGTCATCTCAACTTGAAGCCACCTCAACCTTAAAAAAGCAAGAATAAGATAAAAATGGTGGACCTAAAACCTCGATCCGACAAAGTCACGAACTGTGGATCGATGGACCTATAGCTTTGATCTGTCCAAGTCATGAATCGTCGATTGATGGACATAGGGTCTCAATCCGTCCAAGCCACGAATCATCGATCGATGGACCTAGAGTCTCGATCCGACCAAGTCACGAATTGTCAATCGGTCGACTTAAAGCCTCGATCCAACTAAGTCGTGAACTGTCGATCAATGGACCTAGAGCCTCGATCCTACCAAGCCATGAAATGTTGGCCGATGCACCTAGGGCTTCAATCCGACCAAGCCATGAATTGTCGGCCGATGCACTTAGGGCCTCGATCTAATCGTGGACATCCACTCTCACACAACGAAACAAGACTCTTTACACACCAATTATATATATAAAAGTTACATTTTAATGTTTAAAACTTATTAAAAATGTGTTATGAAATATTTGAGAAGTATCGAATTCGTAATCGAAATATCGGATACGTGTTAGAAATAATATATATATATATATTTTAAAAATATGGATACGTTTAAGAAGTATCAAACACAATTATGCAAGTATCAATATTCAATATGTATCTGATATGAATATGACGTCGTTCTCATAGAAATATCCATACTTTCATCCCTCCCCTGTTCTTTTCACTAATTTATTTATATTATTTTGATTTTTTACTAATTTCTTTATATTATTTTGGTTTAAAGGTTTCTGTCACCGGTTTGTAAGTAAACATTTATTATACACCCTACATATACATTCTAACAACTTATGTTATCTATTGAATTAGTATTAAAGATGCCATCAAGTTACAAAACCTTGTTTGCTAATTTCGGATTAAGACTTTTACTATTGTTAATGTGATTAGGAAATAGTTATAAGGTGTTATTTAAACATTCATTTAGACAATTTAATTAAAAGAAACGTGTACTTTGTGGTCACATTTGATTTTTAATTATGGATTGCCAATGTGAATATTTAGCTTTACAAAAGCTTAATTCTATGATAAGCTAGCAAAGAGATTGTGAAGATGTTTTTAATGCAATTTAGGATTAATCTAATTCCACTTAACAAAAGAAATAATTAAATTACATATAATTTACCCTTGAAAAATTAACAAAAGCTAACATAAATATAACCATTAACTTGATTTAATATGCCTACCAAATCTCAGAAAGACAAATTATTTAAGGTCTTTTTTTTTTTTTTCCCTTTCTATTTATCATACATGTTTATTTATTTATTTTTTTTTTAATTTTTACATAGTTGGTCTCAAACTTGAATAAATAGGATAGTTATGCATATAACCGTTTGTAAAACATTTGTCAACATGAATCTTACCAATGGAACAAAAAAATAAAAAAGAAAAGCAGTAGTTATGGAGAAAGAAAGAGAGAAAAAGCATGCGTAAAGAAATGGGTTGGGGGTTATGCACATTCTGTGAGGGACAAAATAGGAACAAAAAGGGTCAAATCGTATTATCAGATTTACTTTTTTGTCAAAAAGTGGTAAAATGAATTTATTTACACATTTTTTGAATATTATAAACTGAAATATACATTTTTTTTTTAAAAAAAAAACAAAAACTCATTGTGCACATAACATATATTATAGAATGGTTTTCTGCACTTAACCCTAAAAAAACAACAAAGGGCAAGACCTAGAAGCTTATAGATGAATCTGAGAAAGACTTTGCTATAACTCTCGTCTTCAACAAACATGACTTTGAAAAGGAAATCAACCAATCCAAAGTATCAAGAACTCTATCAATCAGGTGGTTAGGTTCAAATTACTAGAAAATGGAAAGGACTTTTTTTTTTTTTTTTTTTTTTTTTTGTGAAGAATTGCATAAACAGTAACCGTATATATAATCCAACCCATAAACAATGACAACATTTAATTATTATTATTATAATTTTGAAAAGTAATTATTATTATTATTATTATAATTTTGAAAACAATTACAATGACAAAAATGTCCCACAACAACAGACCTTGCCCTCAATTATTCAGTAGTACTTGCATGTGCTAGGGCACTTGCTAGAGTTGGGAATAAGATCGACCTCCTCAAGCAGGGACGGACTCAAATTATGTGAGAGAAAACGGTCTTTAACAACAATATAGATTAAAAAAAAATATAAAAAAAATAAAAATAAAACTCCAAATAATAAGCAAAAAGAACTACATTCTTTGATAATTTCATTCACTAGTCTCAATCCAATGAGGCTCATGGGCAAGCACTACTCACTGACGGCCGGCCTGTTGGTCATCTGAGTTTCATTCTTGCTGCCATCCTCCCCTGAGATTTCCTCCAACGATCGCCCTTTAGTCTCGGTCACCAAGAATGTGCAACAAAACCCTAGCATGTTTGTGAATGACAGCACCATCATGGCATGCTTAATTTTTTTAGGGTTCCCACTCAATGTGTAGCTCTGCACCCCGAACGCACCAATCATCGCCCCGGCCTTCCCAGCGGCAGCGCTCAATGCGTGACATGTCGACCTCAGCCGCGTTGGAAACAGCTCCGCTGGAAGCACGAAAGTGGTACTGTTCGGACCGAAATTGGCAAAGAAGAAGGTGAGTCCATATAAAGTTGCAAAAACCCATTTATGCGCCTCTTTCTTAAGGTATTCATATTGGATCCCCATAATAAGCATGAAGACAGACATCATGAAGAACCCTATTAGTTGAATGTAGAACCGGCCAATGCTTTCGATGAAAACCACGGTGAACCAGTAGCCGGGGAAGGTTCCGAGCAAGGCAACCACGAACATGGCACGTGAAGTCTCAAACACCTCTCTGAGAGCACTCACATCAGTATCTTTTTTGGTGAGACCCATAACCGGAAAGATATCCTTCTGAGCTAGGTTTTGGCTATAGAAGGCTATGTCCAACAAGAACCATGTGCTCATGGTACCTATTATAAAATATAAATAATCAAATTATTGCTCTAATAATTATAATGAAACAAATGTTTAAATAAATTATAATCACACATAAATATAAACAAAAAGTTATAGAATATGGTTTGTTTGTTCAGTTTTGAACAACTGAAAATCGTTTTTTTTTTTTTTTTGAGAAGTGTTTTTAGAAAATTAAATCAAGCAGACCTTAAATAACTAAGTTACAGTCACAATACCTATTAAGTGAAGTCCATGTCGACGGAAGAACTCCTTGGAGAGTAGTGTGTAGTCATTAGAGGCCTTAAACTGACTCAACTTCTCACCATCTGCTTGGATATCAATTTTCAGAACCCGACCCATATCAATAGCTGCTTGTTTAGCATTTCCTTCTATGAGAGCAGTGTAACGGCCGGTTTCGGGCATTTTAATCCTCCAGTAGTATGTCAGCAGTGCTGGAAGAGCTCCGAGCATCAACACAATCCGCCACATGTAGTCCCCCTCCGGCTCGGTTGAGAGAATACGATTCTCAGTGAATGTCGGACCTTCATAATAGCTAAGGAAGATCCTGGAAAGAGTCATGGACACTAATCCGGCGAAGATGATACCCACTCCTTGCATGGCAAAGACCGCGGCAATGAACTTCCCTCGAGTCTTCTTGTTAGCATACTCCGACATGATGGTGGCTGAGAGTGGATAATCTCCTCCAATGCCAAACCCTAGCCAAAACCTGAAGAAACATAGGGTTGTTATGACAGATTTAGGCGAGGAGCCGAAAGATAAGCCGGAGCAAATGGCACAGACGACCATGAGAATGAGGGTGACACCGTAGACTTTTTTCCGGCCAAGCTTGTCCCCAAGCCAGCCAAAGACCAGCTGCCCGGTTAGGGTTCCTACTAGGGCAACACCAACAACGAAGTTGTTAACTTGCTGAGGGAGCTTTCCGGGCTTGTGGCTCGCAGTGTCATAGTAATAAAGGCGACCCAAGAGCTTGGAGACAGTGGAGATACAGAAAAGATCATAAGCATCTGTGAAGAAGCCCATTCCGGCAATGACGATGGCCGTGACGTGGTACCATTGGGTACGTGCAGAGTCAAGGGCATTGAGCACTGCAAGATTGTTTGAAGACATTTTTGCTGTCAATGGGCTTAATTGTTTGCTGAAAATTTCCTGGAGTCTATGGCACATTAAATAGTTGGAGTTTTGGCGGGAAGCAATATTAGGGATGATCAAGTATAAATTAAGACTCGTCAAAAACTAGGTTTTGGGGGCTGTCAACAAGGAATTTAGAGAAAGGATATCTCAGTATATTCTTTTTTTTTTGCTTAGAAAAATTAAGCATATGCGCGCCTTAATGGGACATACAATGATCTATACCTTAAGGTGCTAGCAGAGTAAGGGCGTTGGACTGGCTAGCCATGAGTCTATGCTTAATTAAGGTTCCAAAATTATTTTTCTTAGAGTTAAAAATAAATGAGAGTGAAATCAAAGAAAAAAAGTCGAATTTAATATTACTGTTCTAATACTTTTAGTGAAAGTTTTAGTCAAGAAAATCAATTTTCTTGTAGTGTGAACAAAGGGCTTGGCCTAATGGTATGATCTTTCTATTATTAAAGGTGATGAAATCGAGGAGTTCCAACTCGACGTAGTGAACAAAATATGTGTGAGTAGTTTACCTAATTCAGAAAGAATAAAAAAAAAACACTTTTTCGTGATCATTTGATTCAAGTGATTGGAGAAATATATTGAGTGTTGTGGTTCATGGTATCTCATGTACTTTTAAAATAAAAGATCAATGGTTGAAGTTTCTTTAAATGGTTAGATTGAAGTTGTTCAATCTTGACCTGAATTTTAGATAAATTAGTAGTATAAAAATATAGCTTAAATTTGGGCCTTTATATTTGAGAGTTTCATTGATTATGGCATGAAAATTTCTGCTTTGGCTTGATATGGTTTATTTCATCAGCTGTAAGCTGTCACTAGATTTGTTTGATTCTTTCAGTATTTTTGTTGCTATCTTGATGGTTTGAAATTAAGTGCGTAGTTTGTCCCTCCAATCTAAGAAGTGCCGAATTGGGTTCTATTTCATTATTTTTTAATTATTATAAAGACATACAAGGTCCTAATCAGGTCTCGATCTGTTAATGATTACATAATAAAAAATCTTTTGACTTATCTAGCCAATTAGGCGGGCAATCTTATGTTGTGTCTGACTGTGTGATATATAGTATCGAAAAAAATCAGTTTGCTAGAAAATATTCCTTGTGTATACCCTCATGTTTGTTAACCAACCTACGCATAAAAATATGTGTGACTTGGTGCCTTTTGTCCATTAACTGGTATTGAAGATGCGAATAGACTTAAATATCCCTCTCTTTATGATTTTTTTAAAAATAATGACAACAACGAGAAAAGTGAAAATACAAAAAAGCCCAGGACAAAAAATCCTTGCATCGCCGCTGGTCGGTTTGGTAGTGTCGTGTTCCGGTTTGGGTCTCGGTTTGGTCTGAACGGGAACTGAAACACGCCGGACCGGTACTCGTTACTAGGTTAGACCAAGCTTACCGGAAGAGGATGGACAGAGGTCGCTGTCTGTTCACCGGAGTCACATGCATGTCTTGGAGCTCACTGGATGGTCACCAAAATGGGTCTCATTGTTCTGGTTTCGCTGAAATTGCACTCATAGCTTGCCGGATTTCTGTCACCGAAACTGTTGTTCACCTTAACTAAGACACGCTGGGGTTGTTCGGTCTTTGATTGCAGCTTACCGGACCTGTTTTTGCAGAACGAAGTTCACCTAAAAAACTGCATACTTTTTAACTGGAGTGCGCTGGTTCAATCGCCTTCACCGGAGCTAGTAGATGTAGTTTTGGAGCTCGCGGTTATGTCCTCGTCAACGGAATGGGTATGTCTTCAGTCTTCGCCGGAGTTCGCACAGACTGAAGTACAGCAAAGATGAAGCTTTCTCTATATTTGCAAAGACGGGAGATCACCGAAACCGTGGTTCATCTGAACTAAAACTTGGGTGTGTCGCCGGTTGCTATTGGGTCTTCAATCAGTCCGCCGATTCAGTTGACAATTTGGGCCTGTGAGTGCCCGGTTGTGGCGGCGGCGATGTACTTCAATGGGGTTAGGGCATTTTTGGGATATATAAAGGTTATTTTAAAGTTTTCAGCTCTCAAAATAGTCATGCGTCCAGCGCGTGACTATTTAACGGCACTTCATCACCGGAAAGTTGATCGGTGGCCATCCTTTCAACATTTTGACATTTAACGTGGATTTATACACACAAATTAAATATAGGGGTATAAGTCGCACAAAATCAAAAGCAAATGGGTGTTTTGTATACTTTCCCCTTGAATGTATATAGATTTGTACATACAAATTTTGTAATATGTAAACAAGAACAAAAAAATGAAGCAAAAATAAAATTTTATTAAATTAGAAAAATTGGAGTACAATCCTCTCTAATACTCCTTACAAAGAATAAGGTCATCTGATTCGATCTGCTTTTTTTTTGTTGGTTGGATTCAAGGGCTGCACGAGTTTGATTTTGAATTACCGTGAAATTTGGATGAAGAACGACACGATTTGATGTACTTTTTATTGATCACCGTGGAATTTGGATGAAAAACGACACGATTTGATGTGCTTGTTGTTGATTATCGTGGAATTTAAATGAAAAACGGTACGATTTGATGTGCTTGTTGTTCTTCGTCTTGAGAGAGGATTTGTTGAATTTGGTGAAGAATGCCGCGACTTTACTCTCTGGATTTCTGATTCTCTCAATTTCTGGACCTTCTGAATTTCTGAGTCTCTGGATTTCTGGACTCTCAATTTTTTTTTCTACCTTCTTCCTACAGGCCTCGCTTCTTGGATTAATAGGATGATGACACGTGTCATCTCCTGGTAAGGATAAAATTATAGCTGAGCCGGGCCGGTTATATTATGATAATTATCCTTAAAAATAATTATTCCAAATATATTTTATTAGGAATAATTATTTTTGCATTTAATTATCTTGGCTAGGCTAATTAAATAATTTAAGTGGACCAAGCTTGGGCCAATTAAATAATTTAATTAAATATTAGACCTATATTTAATGGGTTAATTTGTCAAAATAAAAGTCCATTAAAATTTTAGTGTCTACAAATTGCTCCCACTTCGAGTCCCGTGTTTGACAGGACTTGTCTCATATTTTTCAAGTGGGGCTTGAAGCATCCAACTTGGTCTTTGAACTGTAAAAGGCTTTCCTATCCAACTTTGGATGATTTCCTCTTTCCCTTTTCTATCCAACTTTGGATTAGAATTTTACTCTTTTTTTTTTTTTTTTTTTTTTTTCTCTCCTTTTTTTTTTCAGCTTCTTTTTTTTTTTTTCCTTTTTTTTTTTTCTCTTTTTTTTGTTTTTTTTTCACGCCTTTCTTTTTTCTTTTTTCTTTTTTTTCTCTCTCTCCTTTTTTTTCCATTTTTTTTTTTTTTTTTCATTCTGGATTTTTTTTCCTTCACTTGCTCGGATTTTTTTCACAATTTCTGCTTTTTTTTTTTTACTGCCACCTAATCTGGGTACAAGAAGGAACTAATGCAAGGAGACCCAGTTGTACAAGTTTCCATGCACCTGTATATTGCTTTGACTACAGAGTTTATTATTATTTGTTTTTTTCCTTCTAATGCATATTTGATCTACATGAAAGATCTGCTACAATCAACATCTCATCAATGCATACATGAACTTTCAAGCACCATTTATTTCTTCTCTGATTCATCAAACTATAATTTTGTATTACCCAAATCTTTTTCTTCAAGATTGGTAATAATAGATCTTTTAAGTAGCCACAATGAAAGTCTAATTCCTTCACTTCCTAAGAAGCCAACAATGATGGAGATGCAAGCAATGGCTACGGGAACAATCCAGTATTGCTTTGTCAGATTCATGAGAACGTGTGTTGTTTGCTTCTTGGAGGAAATTTCAAGCTCAGGGATGGAGCGACTTGAAAATGCCTTGTTATATTTATTTCACATAATCTGATCATTGCAAGAACTCAATCACCATGTTAGTGCACGTCTATCCATGCCATGAAGTCAGACAAGACCCAAGATTTTGAATTTTTTTTTTTTTGGTACCACTTGAGTTGCAGATTTGTAGTAGCAATACATGAATGGAGATTGCAAGGGAGTATCAAGGATTGGAGCCATGCATCACATTCTTTGACTTGCTACCATTCTCATAGAAGAATTTCCCCTCAAATCATTTGCTCTACATGGAGTCTTGATAAGAGAAGATGGAAGAGTACATAGCTCAATGTTGTTATCTACCTCTGCAACTTTTTTTTAGAATTTTCAGAAGAGTGTTTTTTTTTTTTTTTTTTTTTTTTTTTAGCAAGGTGTGGAGGGAAAAAACCACATCAATTACAACACACCACGTGGTGGTGAAAAGCAGCCCACAACCAAATTAAGACAACCAGAATCCTATAATCGATTGGAGGCCCAACAGAAAAAGCCTTACGCATGTACCAGGTCAGCCCAATTGGAGTGAAGGAAGTTTTACTTAATATAAAGGCTAAATGGGCGGCCCAATCTTAATAAGGCCCGAATTCCATAACGTCTGCCATAATGATGAATGCACAATCTGTAGGTGTAATTACCCACATTTGGGAATAAAAGCCAAGAAACGGCTCCATGTAAATCTCTGAGGAAAACTTATAAATAGAGCTTGAATGAGAATGAAAAGGCATCGGATTCCCAATACTGCTAATCTCTCAAAGATTTATTTTTTCTATTCAAATAAAAATGATAGAAACCTAGGTGGAAGGAAGAATGTTGGCTTGTATCAAGTTGACAACTCCAATGACATAGCCGCTGAGATGAAATCTTTGTCTCAAAGATTTGACCAATTTTTGATCAACCAAAATTCGGCAAATCAAGTATCTTCTTCCCTTACTCATATTCATCATCGTGCATTTAATGAATCTTGCATGACTTGTTCAAGTGTCTTGCATTCTACTTCCAATTGTCCCTATAGACATGTGCAAAGTGAGCCCCATGAGCAAGCCAATGCTATTTTTGCTAACCAAGGGAATAATCCCTATAGCACTCATTACAATTCAAGTTGGAGGAACCATCCGAACTTTTCT